ACCAGTATTATTAACAAGGAGCAATAACAATAAAATCGTACTAAATTTTATACAGAATTAGAAATCACTTATCTAACAACAGATATTTTATGAACAAGCCGCCTTTGTGGTGAGCTATCTATAATTATCATGAAAAGAAATATATATATATATATATATATATATATATATAATGATTTTCATGAGTCCAGCTATGTAACCTCACAGCTTCAGCTAGCAGTCATTAACCGGAGAAGGACAAAAAACTGCGTTACTGCTTTAAAATCAGGGAAGAAGTGCGTTAACACGGAGAAGGAAAACTGCGTTTACTGCTTTTAAATCGCTTAGTTTGTTAAACAAGATCACTCAGATTGAATGGAAAATAAATATTAAATATATTACGCTTTGCAGAATGGCAACATACTGGCGTGTGGAAGATTAAAATATGTTGTTTCAGACAGTAGTAACACATTTCTCAAAATTGCTACGTTTTTGTTTAAATCCGATAGACTAATATTTAAAAATGTAAAATTAAAAAACTTAAATTCCAAATTTAAAATTTAAAAAGCAATTATCTGTAATCTCTGCGCCTGTTAACCAAAATGTTATTGAGTTCGAGCAAAATATACAATGAAGAAAAAAAATTAATAATAATAATTCAAAATTTGAGGTGTTCAAGGTGTACATGTTTAACATGTTTAAGAAGATACTTATGTATGTTCAAAATCTTGTAGCTCTAAGCGCCGCCATTTTTTTTTTCAGAATGCGAAGAACATTCATGCTTGCATACTATATGTTCTGCATCTTAAGGCAATTATGTTGCCATTACAAAAGGGTCAGCATATCATTAAGAATCATCCTGAGTCACTTTGCTGATTGTTAAACAATACTCTTCTGTAGTTTAAAAGAGTCATGCGTAAGAGATGGCACGTGCTTGGCAATGATTCCTCGAATTCGAAATCCGTAATAGAAAAATTTATGTTAAAGAATAAGCTAAATATGTCCCATAAAATGACCAAGAGACAAATGAAAACATTAGTAATATTTTTAAAAAGAGACAAATTTTACAAAACATTCATAAGTATGTCGTCCCCAGAGTGGATAAACGTTTATATATATTATAATTAGCAGTTTCTATGTTATTTTATACTTCGACATCCATCAATCGGATTCACTACAGTCCGGTTTGAGAATTTCAAAGTAAACTAAATTTTAATTGAGAAAAATAAACAAAAATGCTAAAATCTTAGTACACGAAATCAATTCTTTATTCCTAAATGATTGGATTTTGTTTGATGTATGCAATCAAATCTCTTTATTGCGCGATTTATTTCTATGCGATTGTTAAGTTATGCGATACAATATAGATTTAAATTTTTCTGGAGTTCCTCGTGAGTGTGTTTACATATGCTGGTGCCGTTCGTCCGTGAGCTGAAAACTATCGCTGGAGGAGGTTAGGAGCATATTTTAGAAGTTGATTCCAACATTGAATGTAGCCCTTGCAGTTCGCAGAATGATAAACAGTGCAAGCCGTTTGTACAACGTTATATATGAAGAGAAAAACCACAGAAAGTTTTGCTGACGGTTGATATCACACGTTTTAGCGAAACAAAATAATTACGAAACTAATGCATTAAATGATTTTTAATAAATTCACTTGAATTTATTTATCGCGATTTGTTTATCAAGAAAGAGCGTTAAAAAGAAACTTGAACCATTTATTATTTCTTAATTAGTTCCTCGATTATTGAGATTTCAAATAGGATTCAAGCACGGATATTGACGCAATCAGGATATTGGCGCAGTTTTACTATGCGAAGTTTCTTAACAATTAAAGAGATAAATATTTAGGGGTATTCTTTTATTCGAAACAGGATTAAAACTAAATAAAATTTTTAATACTAAATTAGTTTCCTTAAATGATTTACAAACATAAATTGGATAGTTGCAGAATAATGTAGTTGAAAGATTGGAGAATGTTTAGTTGGTTCCATGATTTTATTTTTTGAGATTTTTACTGTTTTCTCTCATAATCTAGAAATCGCGAGCAGTAAATTGCAATGTATATAGAAAAACAGCGAACTACAGAATTTTACTTATTTACAATGAATAAATGCAATGCATTTCGAATACGCTATTAATAGTGAACATAAAAGTGTTCGCTTTCTTTCCTAACCTAGATAAAAAGCTGTCCACTTTATTTGATCAATGCTAATAGTAATAATTTCGTTTCAATTCTATTTTTCGTTTACGCTATATAGTTTGGTCTTCTTAAGGAGCATACACTAGACCAAAATTCTGAAAGACAAGTAGAGAATTGTCGCTATGTAAGGACCTCTTATTAATCCAAATAAAGTTTAATAGATGACACTAACTCGTGCTCATAGAAGCCGCTTATTGAGTTAAATGAAAGATAATAGGCAAGCTAAAGTTAATGAAATTTAAGTCTAGTTTAACGGCTTCACAGTTTTATTAGCGCGCAAGTTAGCTCTGATTGAAGTCGGCATAAATAAGCCTAAAAGGAGCAATAACTCAACGCCGAAAAATTCAAATCTTTAGAGACTTAAAGTTACCAACGTGGCCTACAAGCAGCCAGAACGGGTTCTGATTTCACTCTCCAGAACCTTCCTTTAAATACTTCCTTCTTTCTACCTAATTTAAGCATCGCGCGCATTGCGAATTTGCGTTCTGGCATGAAATGAAACCAGTCTTAGTAGAAAAGGGAGTTAACATAAAATAACGATCTTTGAAATTAAAATGAAGCTTACAACACAAAATTATGTTTTGTTATATAATGAGAAGGAAAAACAAATCTGCTTACCTGCAGTTCTGAATTTAAATATTTGGTTAATCGGGAATATTAAACGCACAAATACACAGCAGGAATTTGCATATACGACAGTTTTAGATATCGGTGTTGTAGCTGCCCAGTCGTATGTTGTTTTTTATTATAACAGAATGGCTGTTTCCTTTGACACAACTCTAATTTTTATAATTGATAAAGTAAGATATGACGTCTAAATCAAAAAGAAGATTCATTTAAAATATTTTATAGACATCTGCAGAAATAAGTAATCAACAGCCAACTAAACTGATTCACTTTAAGACATTTTCATCCAATTCAGTGACATTGTAGCATTGTGTAATTAAAACTAATGCACAAGGTTTTGTGTAAATTAGTGATGAGTAAAACACATTTTTGCTAACCTACAGTTTATATCTTGCTGATAAAAATAATATGAAATATAACAAATAAAAAAATGCGTGACTCATAGAATGGGATTAATATATGTATAAACTAAAAAGTATTCTTATGCATTTGAAGTGCGTATTGTTAAGCATTTGAGGGGCATATTGTTATGTTTCATTTTATTTGAGAGTATCTTATTACATACTAGAATGATCAAATATCGCTAGACAGTTTCGTCTAAAGAAACCCAGGGTATGAGCAGTGTTCAGTGTACATAATACAGAAATGAATAGAATCTTTATTTAACTAACATAAATTTTTAGAATTCATTTCAGATTGGTTAACCTTTGTTAATGCTATTTCGATCAATATATCATAACGACAGATTTATAAAATAAATGAAAATATTTTCATGTATAAGGTACACAAGAATATTTTCTCGTTTCGAAATACGTAGTAACATCATTCCAGAATTTTAATCACATTTTAATCAAATTTTAATCAAATTTCTTAGAATTGAATCAAACATTCAGTTCTAAGAAAATATATTTTTACGTAAATACGCGATTTTAGCTACGTTTCTTTTTATGTTTCCATGTAGCAGTTGAGGAATAATTATTTCTGTTCCTTAAGACGTTAATATAGAATGTGTTAAACTGATTATGTATATGTAATAGAAGTCTCTAAACTACTTAATTTTCTTTTACATAATGTTTTAAAAGTTTTTGTGAAACCCATTTTTTCATGATTTATTCTTTTGTATTAAATCAGTATTTTGATAAAATTAAGGAGATTCTGGAATGATATTTGCATTTATTACATAAACATTCGTTACCTTTCGTTAGGGATTTTTAGATGATTTTATTTTGGTACTACGCTTATTCGTACTTTACTAAAATTAGCCTGAAAATGAAAACAGGCAGATGCCACCAAGCTAAATCCGTGCATATCGGCGAGTCTCATACATTATGGAACATAATTATTGTGAAACATGGTTACGAGAAGTAGTTAAGCAGTATGTAATTAATCTTTTGTAAACACAAACCTGCTTCCCAGCTCAGCTGTCAATTTTTTTTTTTTTTTTAATTTTGTTTTGCTCGTAATCTAAAAGGGATTAAATGTAAACTAACTTGACTCGATTATGAGAAGATCTTGTTTATAAAAAACGCTCTCTATTTCTGAAGTAAAACTTTTTTAGGTTGAAAACACTTTTATACCTATGAACTAAACATTTGAAAAATTTCTTATAAAATGATAATTATATTGTTTATGTATCTTACTTGAATAAAACTACACGAATGTCATTGAAATCTCGTGATCGAAACAGTCACAAATAGGCATATTTTTCTGTTTTAACTTAATTTTTCTGTAAATTCATTTCTGTATTACTTTCTACTCTAAAAGCAGTTGACGCTTTTTCTCTAAAATGCGCCTAAAAAACATATGCAAAAGCCATAATTCGATTTTTCTCAAAATGATGATATTGCAGATTCGCGGTTTTGGAATGGTGTCGACACTGCGTTCTGAAGTTAAGAAATGAGTCATAAACCTTAAACCTTTTTTTAAATATTAGGATGGGTATATAAAACTAATATAGATTCCGAAAGCACATTTTGACGCATAAAATAAGGCCTTGTATTCGTGCAAATACTTTTATATAACATTTGCAAATAATAGCGTGATATTTTTGAAAATAAGAAATCTAGGGAAAAAAAAGCACCACACTATTTTCCCCAATGATTAACCGATTTGAATTTTAACATTTATCTGCACATTTTTATTGTGTTACTGTAACTTAAGGTTATAAAGATAGACATATATATTCCCATACCTTGGCCATTCACTCCTTTCAAAGCGCCGAGAAATGCCATCATCATCATCCAACACGTGGTTGCACCCATCATATATCAGTTTGGTTCACTTTTGTAATTCACAGCAACAATTAATGTCCACGTGAACTATAAAGCGCATATCTCGTCGCTTAACGGAAAGAAAGTGCGGAAGAATTTTGCGAGCGAGGTAGTCTATAGAGTACGGAGGAGGAAAAATCGAAACCGAAACGGAGAAAGGATGTGAGTAATCCGGTAGCTCGACCGCAGAATATGGCAATGAAGTGACAATGCGCGCTTCCGAGGACCGTTTATTCGGAAAGAACTTTCGCGCCAAACAAGGCGCATGCTTTTACTCGCCAAACCGCCAATGTGGTAAATATATGCTTAGCAGCATTTTATTCTGAAAAATACCCTTAAATAAGTATCAGTGCAAAAGTTAAGTACTTCGTTGCCATCATTTGCTTAAGGAAAATATTTGACAAATGTTTAGTGCGCCTTAAATGATATGGTGATAATACCCTTAAAAATCAAAATATGATTAAAATATGTTGCCGAACCCAGATTTGAATCAAGTACCTTCCGCTCTGCTATGACCGTCTTCTGAATGAGAGAAACGAATGAAAGTTCTCGTATAATTTCTACTTAAAGATAGGAGGATAAGTCGGACATGACGGCGGGATCTAAAAGACGTTAGAACTCTAGTTATCGTAATTTGAGCGGATGCTTCTTTGAAAAAAGAAGTAGAACAATTACCTTTTCTCATCAAATATGAGACTTACCGCTTGAATAGGGTCATTACTCTTTTTCTCTTTCCCTAGAGTTTATTTCTTGGATATGACCAAAACGCAGAGATCAAGATTACCGTTGAATCTTTTAAAAATTTAATGGAGGTATTTGAATTCAACTTCATTAGTAAAATATTTGAATTGTATTATTTAATTTACTGCAGCAAAGCAAACGTTGACCAATTGCCATCGCTATAAAGAACATCTTTCTAGAGAGACCTTTAAAAGCAAAATCGGATCACATTCACATTACAGTTAAGAGAAACCACTAAATCCACTAAATCCCTATTTAGTTACTAAGAACCAAAATTTGACAAATTACCAATATTCAGAGGTTTTAGCTAGTTAATTATTATTAGCGTACTTAAAAATCTAAAGACACAGTAACTAACAAAACTATTTCAATTTTAACGTAATTGTATAAGGGTCTATATGATTTACGGAAGAAAAATTAAGAAAGAGTATCCTACTTACTACTAGCTATTAGATATACTTTAATCTTCAGCCCAAGAATTTCCAGGTTCGATGCATTATCGGTGCACAATCTTAAGAATGGTATAGAATTGAAATGAACAGAAAGATCAGGTTGGAAACATTTTCACTCTGCCTTAAACAAAATGGAAAGCCTTAAAGCTATACCCAGCTCATAACACTCCTGCCGAAATTAGAACGATTGGTTAACAGGAAAAATGTTCTCATTAGCAAAGCGAGAAAGTCCAATGCAGATTGCTAGTCAAAGCAAATTTTTAAAATTTTATAGATCTATTAAATATGCTTTTAATCGTTCATCGTTTTATAGCCTATAACGCTAATAATCTGAATATTATTGAGATAAATCACTCTATAAACAAACAGAGCAAATCAATAGTAAAAAAGAGAGATAATAGTGAACTGTTTCAAAACTGTTTTATTTAATTTCAAAATTAACATGTGGCATAGTGGTTTTAATGAAAAGTTAGTCAACTGAACTTAAGTTAATATATATAATAGTTAGAAAATAACTCTTAATTTTTTTTTATTTATTTATTAGTTTTAGGTTTGGACTAAAGTAGAGAAAATATACTGAAAACCAATTTAACCAATAAAGGATTTGGAGACAAATATGGTGAATAATAATGTTTGGAATTGCGGTGAATAATATATTTTTTTCTTATTTTATTTACTTTCAGCTTTTTGCTAAAATAGATAATATATACTGAAAGCCTTGTTAACAAATAAGGAATTTTCAGACAAATGCGATGAATAATGTTTTTAATTGCTTCTGAACAATAAATTTTAAACAGTGTAGAATAAATTTCAATTGATGTATGGAACTTTCATTTACTTTTAAAGCTGCCTGAAATGGTAGAAAAAGCTACATTTCTTAATAATTCAAGAAATAAATAAAACTTTCTATGTGCACTTTATTCTAATAACCTATAGATAGATATAAAGTTAGAATTATTTTAATCATTTGTTTCATGTCTTACTAAAATATCGAATTTCCGGTATATTTGACTATGCTGTATTTCTAATAACGAAATGTTATTTTATCCAAATATAAAAAATAAAACTTTACTTTATTCTATATTTTTCAAATCATTATTTAAAAAGGGAAGGAAACTCAAGAACTTAAAACTTCAGATAATTATGCATAAAGTATCAAATGAAGTATGGCGATTATCTTCCTTTTCTCTTAATTTTTTTTTAATTCAAAATAGAATTAATGTCCGTGTACCCTATTTGTCTAGATAAATTTACATAAATCTTAGATATGCAAAACTTGGCCAAGAAAAATTCAAAAATTATGAGATTTAAACTAATTTATTCTCATTTATGAAATATTGAAATTTTTTGGATCTAACATTTGATGAAAATAGCAAAAACAAACTATAAAAAACAACCCCAACCAAAGACTTGTCGCTTTGCGGATGGAATTCTGTTCAGTAAGTAGTTCTTAAATATAAAGTTCTTTTTTAATTCTATTCTCTTATTTAAGCAATGGTTCAGATTATTTTTCAGTTTCTTCTTTTATAACACCCTATATCATAATATAAGTATTTTAATTAGCATAAATTTTGGTTTAAACCACTGTAAGCAGAGAGCTTATAAATAATTTGATTGCGTTAGTACAGCATGCGTACAGCATGCTTCATTGTACACCGAAATTTAATATTTAAGGCCCCTTGATGGACGACTGGTTAGTGGCTGAATTCTGATTGTTCCATTTGGTTTCGAATGCCGGCAAAGGAGTTAATTGCATGACCTCTGCCAGGGGTTATCACACATGTAAAGCAATTAAGAGCCGGTTTCCCTTAGAAAGTCCTCACCGAACGCATAGCTTCCCTTAGATGCCCGCAGATAGTTCTCGTGTGTTTTGCCACAATCAAATAAACCAAACTAAACACTAAATGTCGATACCTTAGAAGATAAAAAATGCGAAGTGCTATAATACATGCAGGTAGATGTAATAAAAGGTATAAAAATATGAAATGTGATATGTACTTGGGGTTTTGGAAAGATAGAGAATACGCATACACATGATATTCTTATACACGAGTACTACAGGATTATCAAAATGCAAATAAGTACAAGGTATCTGTAATGACTTCGAAGATCTGCAGACAAATGTATAGTGCTCTAAACCAGTGGTAGCCCTTGGTAGGTTCTAGGAAAAAACCTACAGGAAAAAAGGCCCACAGAAACAATGCTCACAGAATAATGCTCACGGGTATAAATGCTCACAGGAAAAAAACTCACACATAAATATGCCCACATAGAAATAAATACTCACATGGAAAAAGGCTCACTTAGAAATATGCTCACACGGATAAAAGCTCACATAGGTACATGCTCACTTGGAAATGAAATATGTAGAAATATTCTTACATTAATCAATCAAAATTAATCGATTTGAACATCATACACCTACTTGAATTTTTTAAAGAAAAATTATTTGATCATTTGAAACATTTATTGAACAAATGCTTATATTAACCTTTTCAGGGGCGGTATATATAAAAGAATGAAAACTATAGTAAAATTTTGCATGTACTGTATTATTTTATACCACTGCCTCCTATACGAATTTTTTTTCCTGTAACTGCCAATAGTTTATTTTTTATTTACCCTCTTTTTGCATACTTTTGATGTGTATCTATAGAAATTGATGTCGGAATATAGTTATTTAAGTTTGGAGCCAAACAATGTTCTAGAAGATCACAGTTTCCAATCGAAATGTGGAATCATTATGAAACAGCCTTCGAAAATCTCTTAAAATAACAAATTATTACGAAAGCTTTCATAAGGTACTAAATTCATTATTTAATTATAGCCATCCTAGTATGTGGTTTTTGTTTAACGGACTGAAAAAAGATTTAGCCTGTCAGCGTTTATTACTAGCTATTGTAAATGCAGGGCATACAGAAGCAAAAGAAAATATGAAAACTTACATTTGGTAATCGCGAATCATGTAAGAAACTATGATGAAATCGATGATAAAATTAGATATTTATCTATATTAGCTAATATTCAGTAAGTTTGTAACATTAGGTATTTTGGAAGAAGGAGATGTGAAAAATGAGCAATTCGTCGAGAATCCAACCACAGACCTCTGGAATACGCGGCCAGCGTGCAGACCACCACACCACGAAGGCATGCTAGGAAGGAGGGAGAAATGCCTTATGCACACCCCACCTTTCAAAGGGCGACTGGGGTTTTTAGTGGACCCAATCGCCAAATCTTGGGTGTAGAGAATCATCATCCACCACCCTTTTAGTTCAGGCTCCACTGTAGAGACATTAGGTATTTTGGAAGCAGGAGATTTAAAAAATAAGCAAAGCCTTCGCTCGAAATCGAATCGACCTCTGGAATACGCGCCCAACGTGCAGTGCACCACACCACGAAAGCATGCTAAGAAGGCGAGAGAAATACCTTATAAGTTTATGTGAAATATACATGATTTATATATAACAAGGAATGTTTATATTATAAAATGTGTAACTTGGAACTCTACTTACTATTATTTTTCTTTTTTAAGAATTAAAATTTTAATAATTTTTCGCTGTATATTCTGTTTCACTTTTCTTCCTTCCTCCTCTCTTTTTCCTAATGGAAAACGGCCCATTTTTTAATCTTATATAGCAACTAAATCTACACATAAGTTATACAGTTTTGGATATATATATATATAACATAAATGTTTTGGTAATTTAAGTAATTTTTCTTTGAAAAATTCAAGTACGAGTACGATGTTCAAATCGCTTAATTAATGTAAGGATATTTCTATGTATTTTATTTATCAGTGGGCTTATTTCCATGTGAGCATTTTCCGTGTGAGCATATTATTTCTAAGTGAGAATGTTTCCATGTGAGCTTCTTCTATGTGTGCATATTTCTATATGGGCTTTTTTTTTCCTGTGAGCATTTATACCTGTGAACATTATTCTGTGAGCATAATTCCTATGAGCTTTTT